TACCCGGAGAAAAGATCCTCGACATCCCTCTCTCTTACACTCTTCTTGGCAGGCGTGGGGGGTGCTCACTGCGCCGAAGGCGGTCCGCGAAAGCGGAACTGAGTTGCTCCTCGGCTGGCGCTGGGTTTATAGGGCTTTTGGGGCTTTTCGGGTTTAGGGTTGGTGATGATCTTTTGGCAGGAAAAGTCTGGCAGAAGACGACGGACGGTCGTGTCCGTCACATCCAGCTTGAGGGCTGTCTCTTGATTCAACGATTCTTGGGATTTCTTGAAAATCAGTTGTTGTAGTCAGGGCACGGGTGCACCAATAAACCCGTGTATAGACATGTAACATGAACTAGTTACCAATAGCTTTTGATTCCTCAGGGCAGGGATCAAAGATACAGTCCACAACTAGAATTGCATCATGATGTCCAAGTCCGTCGTCTTCGGGAACGGTGCATAACATGCTGGTACGGCCTTTAGCCAATCTTGCTTGAAGCGTCAAGCTTTCTGTATCTTGTCTTCGAGAATGCTTCAGACATGTATCGGCTCTTGGCCTGCCTTGCCCTGTGAGGCTAGCGACCGCTGCATCTGCAAAGGTTTGCAGGCAGGGCGGTGTTGGCCATATTGCTTCACTGCATGGCAGTTCCGGACATCTTCTCAGAAAACTTGGCATATCCTAGCACCTCGCGCTTCTTCTAAGCTCACCGGCGTTGCTATGAAGACAGTTTACATAGACTAGGTAGGTTCAACCACGTGCTCTGGAGCAGCGAGGGCCTAGGAGCCGTAGCATTGACACGGAGAGCAAGTTTGCAGCTGGCATCAGAGATGCTTCTTCCGTTCGCATTTCACAACTGTACACATGTCAGTATTGCCCAAGGCCGGAGTTGCAGCACGTGAATATGTCATTTGAATTTGGTGCCTATATGCATATAGATATAGATGCAAATGTGTGTGTTGGTTATTTATCTGTACGAACACACACAGACACAGACACACACACACACACATACGTATACATACATACAGTTCTCAGGCTGAAACATGACAGCCCACTGTATCGGATCGTTCATGCCCGCCAAGCTGTGAGAGTCGAGACGGCAGTTTTGTCCGGGTTTGTCGGGGCTTAGAGCTGCCGTGCCTGGGCACTTCGACTCTGTGAATTCCCCAAGGGGCACTTGCAACTTACAAGTATTTAAGAGCTGCTCGACACTCTTGTCCTGTCCCTGTCATGGCGAACACCAGTCTGCTTCGTGCTATCAGAATGAAGCCATTAGGTAGTTGGGGTCTCACCCCTCTAATCTCAGCGGAGGCTTGGACGCAGAGCCCTGTGGCACGAAGCCTTGCCAACTGCGAGGCTTCTCGTCAACAGTCAAACAAAGGATGAGCTTTGCTGCTACAGTCCTTGCTGAAGTAGAGACAGACACAAAAACTCAAGATCCTGTCAACGAGCATGTTTGACACAGAAGATGTGTGAAGTGCTTGAGGCCGTTGCGCACTGCACCTTGACGGCATTGATGAGAAGTATGTGGGTTTGGCAACAGCAGATTCTTGCACTTGCACTTGTCGCACCTGCCGGCGAATTTCCTGCCAAGGCCTTCGAGGTGGACCGCGTGGCTTCGCTTCAACCAGCCGAGTACTGCTGTGCACGTATGATTTCCTGGTTCCAGCGCACGAATTTTGTATCCTGACTGCTGCCGTTGCACATCGCATGCTGAAGCTTTGAGGATAATGCTCCAGCACTCGCTCGCATCAGAGGGGTGCCTCGGCAGCACCCTGGTTGCCGGCACTGTATGCAGCAGCCGGTTGCGAGGCTGTTTGCTGGGGTTTGCCGATTTTGGGTGATGTCGTGCATCCTGCCTCACAGACTGATAGTCAGCCACGCATGTTAGACTTGCAAGGTGCGCAGCATGAGCTTGCACGCTGCATCGCAGTCGAATATGGTCTTCATGTATCAGTATCCTAGATCTTCGCAAGAATCAAGCGTGTCTGCTAAGAGATTGCTTTGTCAAGCTTTGGCTCCTGGCGCCTAGGCCTAGGCATCAGCTTTCAATCCAACCCATCCGATGCTGACAGAACCACACGAAAACAGTATTCTGCAAGCAATGTTCTATTTAGGGCTAGTGTTGTTCAATGACCCCACAAGCTTTCGCCTCAGGACGAGTCCGAGGATCCCAAAGAGGAGGAGGAGGAGGATATCGAGCGACCACCTATGTGGGAGAACCTCGATGGCCTTCCGCATCTGGGCACGGGACTTTATCGTAGATGAATGAGTTCCTGGTCCTTCATGGAGTGCAAAGCCCCCGTCTGCCCCGCCGGCCTGCGAGATATGTGTCCATGGGTTGAAGCTGTACCATGATTGCGACGCAACAAGTGGTCTTCCAAGTGGAATCCATGGGCACGGTTTCCACTTTTTTCGGCAAGATCTATACTGTATAAGCCCCTAGCCGTGGATCTTTGGATTTCGGACGGGTAGTACTGTGGGCTGGTTTGCCGTCGTCCCTTTTTGCCACGAGCTGTTCTACGAGCTGTTCACTCGTGATTCATTGCCCCCCGGCAAAGCTATGATGTGTGCCCGCCAAGGGAAGTGAAGGTGACCACGCCGGCAGTGGGGTACTTTTCCAAGGTCTGGTGCGGTGCCTGTAATCTCTTGACAGCGTCAATGCTTTCACTGGTAGCACGCGACGCGACCATGCCACACAACACACAGAAGCGTTAACAGTGTTTCTGCAGAACACGTCCATGGTATCACAGGGCACGTGCCTACATGCTTGACTAGAAGATTGTGATTGTACATACTGAGCTGGGAGGATATCGGTTCGAGCGAAGACGGTGAGATGACGCCGGGCAGCAAGTAGCCGCGCTAATATGAGGAGGTTCTCGTCCCACAGATGGCACTGTGAAGCGATGTGGTTGGCTGCCATACCTGCCTCCGGCAAGGACAACATGAACAGCGACAGAATTTGGATGAGGATGAGGCTGATGATGGTGATGATGATGATGATGATGATGCTGATGCTGATGCTGATGATGGTGATGATGATGGTGGTGGTGATGATGATGGTGATGATGGTGATGATGATGGTGGTGATGATGAGGAGGATGGTGATGATGGTGATGATGATGGTGATGGTGATGATGATCATGATGATGATGGTGCCGTCAGTGCTCGGAAGCATGACAGCAGTAGCGGCCAGCAGCCACACGAGTGCTGTACATGAGCTGAACAGAAGACACAGTCCTGGACATGTTTATAGTTTTCGTGCCGATGTCGAAGTCGCAACCGTGGTGTGGTAGTCGTACGGGTGGTGGTGGTCGTCGTTCCCGCGGTCCTCTTGTAGCAGGAGTACTCGTAGCAGTAGTAGTAGCAGCAGCAGCAGTAGAAGTAGGAGTAGGAATGGAGTCGTAGCCTTGGTAGCAGTAGTAGTGGATAGTGTTGTTATTCGTGGTGGTGGTGGTGGCGGTGGTGGTGGTGGTGCAGCAGTAGCAAGAGCAGAAAGTAGTCAGTCGTGGTAGTCGTGGTGGTGGTGCTGGCGGCGGCAATGGCCGTCGTAGCAGTCGCGGCAGTCATAGCAGCAGTCTCCTTCGTGGGAGTTTCAGGAAACCCACCTTCGGCTGCAAGTGTGGCACCGGCGATTGGCGCCCAGCGCCACATGGCCGAGTCGGGAATTTGCTCTGACCGGTGTTCAGGGAGACACTTGCAGGATTCGATTTTGAGGGTTCGGTGGTGTTTCCTCTAGTCGGATCTCGAGTTCACTATCCGGAACGAGGGTGTGTTACTATGCCGCACGGGCCAGCGGCATCCGTCATGCGGTTCCTCCAGATTCCTGTGAAGGATTGCGATCCTTTGACGACGCCATCATAGGGCATGATGCGATACGACGTGCCATCATGGCTGTGTGAGGTATTTACAAAGGGGGGTGATGAGGGTATGGAGCTCATAGTCCTAGGGTCATACTTTGAGCTCGCACTGGAAGACTCCGAACTTCGGAGAGTCCTGCCAAACAGCGTCAGTTTGTTTCGGATGAGAATTGCAAGAACCCACAGGCCTGGCCGAAACTCTGTGCAGACTCATCGGCTGCAGGCTGTCGCATCCCAGCATCACTTTCCGGCAGGAGTTCACCGAACTGCATCCGGCCTCCTGGCTAAGTCTATGACGGAAGTCGTGTTTCGAGGTTTTTGCTTTGGGCTGTTGTTTTTGCTGTTCAGGCATTGAACAGGTTGATTGCATCCATGAGCAACCTGCCTGGCAGTTGTGAGACCCCGTCATAAACCACATACAGTGTGCTTTATTTCACTCAAACCGGTGCGAACTGTTTGCATACTTGAAGGCAAGCCTGCCGTCCTGCGATAAGAGAGAGAATGCAGCAAGGCTTCCACATCTTAGGACTGAGGGGGGTGTGCATCAAGATGGTCCAGATTGTAGGTAATTTGTTCCTGCAGCCTTCCGAGGATTTCCTCGGCCGCGTGCAGAAGCTCAAGGTTCGGTTGGCACCTTGTGGGAAATTAGAAGCATTTGCTTTTCAATGCCAGGGACTGTCAACACGTGCAGCTGCAAGGCATCTAGTTACATTGAATGCAGTCCCGCACTGGCTGTTGTGCGTAGAGCCTTGAGCGGACGAGTGCATACTGCAGTTCGCAATCAAGTCCTGCTGTCCTTGTCCGGTCTCATGTTCGGTGTTCGTGGTAGCAGCTCTTCCTTCGACCGTTGGGCAAGGTGTCCAGTGAGCATCCGCTGAAGAGTGCCCGTCAATCTTATTGGTTGCAATGAACCTCGCCTGTTGGTCCGGCATGCGAGAGCATAGCCTCGGACCGACTCTGACGATCCCTAAACCGTCCATCACTATCGCGCCAACAAGATGGGGCAGAATCCGGAACTCAAGTTCAAAGTTGAAGGTTTGGTGCCGGGACTGTTATGCTATGCGTATGATCTTGCCAGGTTCGCATGATTCTTTTTTCATACTCGATTGTAAACTGCTACGGTTCGTAACTACTTCAATAAGCGATCCTTGCTCGGCGATGCCAGTAACAGAGCCCTCGAAGAAGGACCCGAGAGTATGTCGAGTAGCTCATGTCACGTTCTGGTCCTTGCCTGCTTGCAGGGACAGACAAAACTGTGTGCCTTCCGGTAAGGAAAATGACAACACGGCCAAGCTGCAGTGGGCAGCTTGCCCACCAGACCTGCTCCTGCTTCCGTTGAGTTTCTGGTTCCGCGAGGGTGTTAAGGAGTTGGGCTGGGCACCGGGCTTAGACGAGCCTGGTTGCAATGTGAATAGCATCGTCCACTCCCAAGCTAAGCAAGCTGGGTCAGGTGGCATGGTGACGGGAAGCTGGATTGCACCTCCTTGGAAGGGCCCCATGCTGTCTGGCAGAGCCGAGGACGCCGCATACGACCTCCGGCGATTTCTGAAAACTGGCGACATGCTGCTGAGATGCGTCAGCACTTTCGGGGTTCTCTGTGGGTTCGAGTGAGGTGGCGGCTCAGAGTCATCGGTTTTCATGTGGGCTTGTTCGAGAACCTTCGGTCTGTATTGTCATGACCTTGGCGTTCGATGTTCAGACCTACGTTTAAAGCGGTTAGGACCGTTCCTCATATATTCTAGCTGCAGAGCGTCCAGTACAGTTATGGCCTGTTTTTGCCGGTGGGCTGTCGATTGAAAGCTTCACGCAGACCCGTTCGCGACGAAAGAGCTCAAGCGTGCGAACGGGTTCTTTGCAACACTCAACAAGACTGCAATCTTTGAAGGCACCACCATGTCCGTTCAGCCTAGAGGCCTACATAAAGATATCTTGCCGACGCTTCAGCAGGCCTTTTTTGTTGCGCAGTTGTGTATGTCTTTACCGGCTCCTTGTAAGAATTGTCTACCGTGTCCGCGCCCGCCGCGACAGCAGTGTGAACCTCGATGATGTTTCTCTCTGTTTGTCCTACCTACAGCTCGATAACCGTACATTGATTCATGGACGATTGGGACAGCAAGAGACCACTGGCCTCCATGCCAAGGCCATCGCTTACCGAGACTACGCCGGCGATCGCAAAGAGCGGACAACAGCCTCCAAGTCTGCACTGGGAAAACCAGAAGTGCTTTAATTTACTTCTGATAAAGAAGGAGTCCACTTGGATCACGGAACTTGCGTCCGTGGTGAGTCCTACACACTGCTTGCCAGCCTGTTTGCTTGATGCCCAAGGCTTCGATTTCTGACGTTCTGTCCGGATGCACCGCAGACTGCAAATCAGTTCTCACCTGGGCAACAGATTGTTCTTTTCGGGGGCAGTGAGTCGGTGGCATCCAGGCATCAAACAATTACACGATGCGGGTCACCGCCCTGGATGCGAACGACGAGCCCATCGACTACTTCGAGGCCAATTGTGGGTACTCCGTGCTGCGTCTCCCAAGGTCGAAGCAAAAGCCATGACCACCAATACTGTAACTATAGTCGTCCCCTTCTGGTCGCCCCAAAGTCCTATTCTACTTACTCAGGCTCCCACATGTGTGAAGAGCAGTGAAACCGAAAAGTAGCTTTCTTCAGTGGTGCCAGGATGACGAGATGAAGTTGATGGCCACCCCTGGCCTACCACCTCCCAAAGGGCAGGCGGGAGCGCTTTGTTGGGCAAACATCGAAACCCTAACCCCCCAGGTACCTACTATAAGGGCCCCTAGGGGCTCTAGTACCCTATATCGTAGGTACCTGGGGGCTTAGGGAAAGGTAAGGGATTTCGGGTTAGGTCCATCTTCGTCAGATTACAGATTCTAGAAGTTACATCTGACGTTTGTTCTCTTTGCTTGACTCTAGAGCTTCAGGCTCAATTTTTCGGGGCGGTCTGTATCAGATTTCCGTCTCTCCGCGTTTGGGATTGAGTCTTGGACTCTTGGTTGCAGGGTTTCCAGGTTGTTCTACGCCACCACACGAGAGAGGCGTGAATCCATGCTTGAACTGCCAGGTTCTTCTAAGTCCGTGCGCATGTGGAATTTGATTCGAGCTCTGTGGGAAGTTGACTGAAACCGACGCGCAACTGAAAGTTTCGCATCCTTGCGACACATGCAGTTTGTAATCATCACCGCCCGATGACGCAAAGTGACGCCCCCTGCATGAGGTCACCGAGATGACTATCGTACCGAAGGGTCAGTCACATGGCCTGTGAGTTCCCATATGGCGGATTTTGGGTTCAAGCCTCGTGCCAACTCAAAACAAGGGCTCCCGTCGGCCTTCGATTTGTTCGAGAGAGATGCATTCCCCAGGGATGGCGCTTCATAGTTCCGCCGAAGGGGACTCCAGGGAGCAAGTTGCAATGGATGGCAAGGAGCGACACGCTTTGTTGCAATTGGTGTTCCGCTACTTGCACCAACAAACCGTGTAATGGATCTTGACAAGTTTTCGCGGCATTTAAGCTACCGGAATGCGCAGCTGGGCAGCAACCTTGCTTAACCATTGGCTGCCAGGGCTGCGTGACACTGCAGTACGGATCTAGAAGCCAGCTTTGTTGAGCACAGTGCCGACTACGAGTTCTTGCTGCATGTCTGTCATCCTCAGCCCTCTCAGATCTATCAGCGCTGAATCCCATAAGCTAGGTTTCATGCTACCGCTTTGTCTTGCGCCGAGCATGCAGACCCAGGATCGGGAAAGAAGCGGAGAAAGGCGCTCTCAAGGACGCCGGGTATGGCAAGATGTGGTAGGAGCTGTGCCGACTGGTGCATCTTCTGTATGCGTGTATACTCATACACTGCATCTACAGATATGCATGGATGGATGTGGAAGTGGATATTGTCCGTATGAACGGACTGACGGATTGACGAATTGAATGATGTTGCAAGTGCTGCGGTGTGTTCGTGCAAACATGCAGGTGCGACTATCATATCTGAACATGTATGTATGCATGCGTTATATATACATGTATATATACATATGTGTTTGTTGATACACACACACACACACATATATATATATATATGTACATAGGTATGCACAGATACGGGCATACGTGGATACACATACATGCGCACACATACCAATAAATAAATACAGACACCCACATGTGGACATGCACACATATATATATATATATACATATGTTTATGCACATACACGTACTATTTGTATGCATGCCCACACACACATAAGATATCATAAGAGATAAATGCGTGCGTATGACATATATGCATGTATGTAACGTATGTATGTATGTATGTATGTATGTATGTATGGATGGATGGATGGATGGATGGATGGATGGATGGATGGATGGATGGATGTATGTATGTATGTATGTATGTATATTTGCACATACACCCACAATTTGGGCAACGTAGTGCAGGTAGGCAAACAAAGTGCGAATTCACCCGCATCCACAATTAAAGCGCGTGAACGCAGCATACACAGAACCCACCAACCTACCAACCCACGCAACCCCCCCCCCCCCACACACACACACACAAACACAAACAACAACTAAGTAGATAGAGAGAGAGAGAGAGCGGCATAGGTCTAGACCTACACGTAGGCATATAGATGTACATCTCGATGTGTATGTGTATGTATGTATATATATATATATATACACATGTGTGTTGTATGTGGAAATATACATAAATACATAACTCTCTCTCTCTCTATATATATATATAATAGATACTTAGATACACGTGTTTATACGTGCTAGCCCCCCCATTGTAATCTACTTGTTTCGCTTGTTTACCTATGCGAGCCTACTGGTTGGGAACTGAGAACTGAGTGAAGTTCGACATGTGTGAGCCGACTCCCCCTGGCAAGTAATCAAGTAGTCTTGAAGCCCAGAAGCCAATTTACCAACTTTGTAGGTAGGTGTTCCAGTTCAGAAATTTCAAGTGGGGGGGTTGTGTTTCAGCAATCGCGGTTCACGGAACAGTAGCCCCGCATCTGGTTTGTGAATCAAATGCATCGAGTGCACCCTTTTGGCCCTCCAAGTTTCCAAGGTTCTGAAGATTGTCGGGAATCTTGGTTCTTGGATCCCGGGGCCTTTGCTACTTAAAAGACCCGTGTTATGATTAACACGGCACCAAAGAGAGGGCGTCTTCATAGGTCTTGATATCCACCTCGGACCTCTGTATATATCAGGTGGAAGAGACGCATCCGCGACAGCCTGAATTCTGCACCCACCATGCAACCCAAGTGTTTGGTTGGAGGGGTTGCAGTTGCAAGAGACGCGAGGGGCTATATGATCTTAGGAATAGGGCTGCGAATGTTGAAAATTTTCAGGGCTTATTGCGGAGCTGCAAGCGTGTTCCAGGAGCCTGGCTTGGAAGCAGGTGCGAACATGCAAGAGGCTGGGTGTCGAAGATCTGGGCATAAGTGCAAGTTGTTGCGGCAGTATGGTTTATGCCACCTTTAACCGTCGCGCTATTGGGGTATTGGTACACAGGGTTTGGGTTGGGAGGCCCATGCGCAGCATGGGCATCACAGTCGTACTACTCAAGCATTTGGCTCGGGATATCGGCGGAACACTGCGGAATCCGACCGACAGACAAATCACAACCGCTAAACCAATCCTTGAATGGATCATCCGAGTTGTGAAAGGTGAGTTCCCTAAACCCTGAAGGCCTGAAAAACGATTCAGACGCCAATGACATCTTGCCCTGACAGTGGCTTCCAGCTTCTGCAAGGCCAAGACCCAACCTGTGGAGCCTCAACCTGATCTGGGAGTCCGAACCCTCAGCTTCTCCAGGGAGAGAAGAAGCCCGACATGGGGGACATCACCCGGGAGATCATGAAGGAAGAGTCCCTGAAGCAAGAGTCGCATGGCAGATAAGCTCAGCCAAGATGAGGGCTTCAGGGCCTTTTTTGAGCTTCGCGCTTGCATTGCCTTGTGCCGTTGTTGTTTAGTAGACATTGGAGAGATGCCAGCCGTTGGAAGCTTCGCTTTTCCCAGGGCCATGATGAAGGAGGAGTGAGCGCAATTTATCCCCACCTGAGCCTTCGGTTGGAGACAAGCTCCAGTGGGCTTGAGCTCCTGAAAAAGTATTGACTCACTAATTGTCACGGTAATTACACTTCTACAACATACACGCCAGGCCTGATTAGCCAGAGTTGTTTTGTCTTGTTTCACCGTCAGGGGTTAAGGTAACGGAAGTTGTAGCCAGCTCAGTATGCTGCAAGAAGCACCAGACCACCCTGCTTCACGAAGAAGTGCCTTCGCCGGGGCCAGAAGGATTGATCCGCGATGTCTGGGCTCCAAAAGAATCTTTGTGCCTTGCGACAAAAGCATGCTGGCATGGCTGGTTCGTTTGAGGGCCAGGCTTCAATGAAGAAGGAGTTTCGAATTTTCGACGGAACTCTCAAACCACCCACGACGAGAAATGCCCGGTTTTAGAAAGCGGTTGCCTCCGACGGTAGTTTGTGCTTCCGGTCGAACTTCATAACAGCGGCCGATCCCTTAAGTAGCCAAGCCAGACTTGTCGAGCATGCATCTGCATCCCTTCGCAGGCACGACTGTCCGCCAGCTGATTGAGCCCTTCGGTTTTGCAGGTGATTGACTTTAACGGTTTGTGGGCCACACCTTGCTGTGTAGCTTGACTGGTTTCAATACCTCCGATGCTGATGGTGTCCTCCGGCCTAGTTGTTAAGGTTTCTGTAAGAAGGTTTCATGTCTTGCGTCGGCAAGGGGGCATTGACCAGTGCGTATCTCTGAAGTTCTCCGTGGATGTGCAAGAAGCACCCATGGAATGCCAGATCCGAATGCGAACAGCGCGAGATTTGCGAGCATCTGGCTGTCTCAAAATGTCCAGATATGTCCAGATCTAGGGCCTGAGTCGGCTGTGCTTCCTTCTATGGACCTTGGCTCTCATCAGTCTCTACGTGTCTATGTTCACTTCTCTCGGCCAGCGGGTCCTCGGTCAGTCTCTGCGATGTACTCGGAGTGGAGGAGGAGGGCTTGTGCCCGTACGATTTCTTCCGGAAGTAAGCTTGCAGGATCCCACGCTGTGCCAGCGCTGGAGATCCTGGAGGCCGGCTGGTGGAGTGCGCGTTGGGACGACTAGGATTCTGAAGTGGGCTGTCTAAGAGGCCAGGACGTTGGAGACCGTGTCATACCTTCGAGAGGGGGGAGCCTCCCATCGTACTTGGGGGCGCCAGAAATTCAACCGCGGTTGACCGTGTCACACAGAGCAAAGGGTGATCATGGCTGACCAGGTGAGCCGGTTTCAGGCTTCCAGGATTCAGAACAGTCCGTCCGGATCATTCGAGATGCAGAAGCTGTCCCTTCATTCCCGTTGAGGCAGCGGTTACACTGCGGGAAAGTGACTGAAACGAATGTGGGATGGCAACATGCCGGAGACTGAGTCGGGTTTCAATTCTGCAGGAAGCTTTTTGGTAGTCGTGCTTCATCGTCCCCAGTATGCATTCTTTCAGCACGCGTATTCTGACGAATCGTAAATAAAATGACGAGCTGGTGGCCTCGACCTTGTGCTGGGCAAGCTGCAGTTGACGTGTCGTTGTCCGCACGAGAGTTCCGATCCAAGCTACGGCAGGTGGGTGACAGTGTTTGGAATCGTGCTTCTCGACAAATGACACACGTGTCTTTCATGATGCTGGCGGTCATAAGAACGTGATGAAACAACAGTTGCAGCCATGATAATCGAGTCTGCGCGCCGGCTTGTTAGCAATGTCAGTATATTCAGTTCGCTTTAGGTTCTCCGATTGTTCTTAGCTTAGTTGCTCCTTTTCAGTATTAATGACGTTTCTATTTGTCATCAAGAGTGTCTACATGGAACAGTTTCAAGCCAGGCTGCTGGCAGTAGCATCAGCAGCAGCAGCAGAAGAAGTGGCAGGAGTAGTAGTTGTCGTCGTACTACTATTCTTACTAGAAGTAGCTAAGTAGCTCTAGAATACTAGAACCAGGGTCTGTGTTAGGCTCTTTGCTGTCGTAGTTGGAAGGTCTAAGATTCGGAAGCTGGATTCGTCGTGACACTTGAGGTCGCGATCCAAGAGCTTCCCGCAGAAGGAGCGACCTGACTTTGGAGTTCACCATAGTTCGCGTTTCCGTCAAGTTCTTCTTCCCTGCATCCCGAGTTCGAAGCTGTCGGAGACAGACGGTGCCAAGAAGCATCACCGAACTGCCGCCGTCTCTTGCGTGACAGTGGTCCAGACACGGAAGTGTGCAGAGAATCGAACCAGTCGGGGATATTCATGTTAAATTGCCTCATCGCGTACTATAAGCTACTACTCTCCTGTGATCGGCTAACTAGACGAAACTGTTCTATACGGTGCTATGTATGTCTTGATATGTGCTCTGCTTCGAGTATACCGTGTATGTAATGTAAGGTAAGTAGCATGTCGTGTGACGCGATGTGATGTGAAGAGGTGTGACGTGATGTGATGTCATGCGATGCAACGGATTGTCATGATTGCAATGGCATAATGTAACCTTCACATATTGAGATCAATGCGCAGTTTCCTCTTATTTGACAGTGACCCGGAAGAGGTAAGCACGGTGCTGGGTCCGAAACCGATCGCAGACACCTGCAGGACACGGCGCAGATGCTGCGCCCATGGGCCGCTTCCAACATTTGAGGCCAATCCTTGCAGCGGCAGAAATGTGAGGGTTAGAGGTTGTCGAACTCGCATGAGCTGAGAGCACCTCTTTCCTCAATCTTGGACGATGCGGCAGAGGTTGCCTAATGTCGGGCTTATCGGACTTAGAACGACTTGGGGTTTAGGGTTTTAAGTTGCTCTCAGCTGGCCGCAGAGCACGCGAAAGCGGCCGACTTGCAGCATCGAAAAATGCTGTGCCGGCTTCGGCCTTGACCCTCAATATGGGGGCCTTCATAATTTGAATAGGGTTATGGAGCCCATTATACTATAATTTGAATAAGGACCCCCCCGGCCCCTACATTAGTTTCCATCAGCTGATCAACTGAAGGACAAGATTGTAGGCGCAACGTGAAGCTATTTCCACATCGCTGTACATTCTGGCTCTTCAGATAGACAGCCTGATGAAAGGCCAAATATCAGAAGACATCAGAAGTCACCCACAGGTCGGCAATCCCAACCCAAGCACAAGATCTCAAGATGTGGTCGGTACTGTGAGCAGCTGATCCCACTTCCAGATCAGTTGTACTGGGTTGGAACTGCCCGCCTGCAGGGCGGCAGAGCACACACACACACACACACATCTTTCCCAGCATCCCACACACGGTATGTACTAACTTGCTTGCCGATTCGTGAATTCGCGATCTTCGCGCGCACAGATGTCAAAGCCAGTGCCGCACTCAGCGAGTGAGAACGGTGTGCGAGCGCTTGATCGAGTGAGTGATGTTCATGTTTTGAACTATTCAGCACGGCAACGCCCCACGCAAGGATCGGCCTGGCTGCGCAAAGTCTTACGTTATCTCTCCAGATCCGTCGAGAAAATTCCCGCACGTGTCTAGACTCTAGACGACGGCCTTGCGTGAGCGCAAACGAAGGCTTTTCTCGACTATCGTTTCCAGGAAAACCTCTTTGTGGGCAGGTGACCCTATCAAACTCCTTGAGAAGTATCAGTAGGAAGAACAAGAGAAGGGGGAGAAGGGGAGAGAGCGAGAAGCGAGAAGATATCTTTGACTCAGACGCCTCGCAAGGGGGGACGCTCCGGACTCCCAAATATTTCCCCGAGACAAGATAGAGAAGCATCGCTCAGAGAGAAAACGCTACTAAAGTACAGAATGTTTTTGTGCACATGAATGCTTGATTACGAAGACCAGATTAACGAACAGTAGCATTCACACGAATAGCAAGCCTGCACTCGGGTACCGAAGATTGATGCCGCCCCAATTCCGAGGCATCACGGCACGTCCAGGCTGGGCTGCTTAGCGAGGAGTCGGCTTCGCGTCTCTCTGGCTGAACTGCAGAAACGACACGGCTTGTTCGAGGTGTAAAACAAGCAGAAAGCCTTGTTGGCATGCTAATTAGTATGTTGATTCGCCGTGGCTTGTTGGCCACGGCCGGCAAATGAGTGCGACCACCGGGGAAGTCAGCAGTGGTGTCAGGACCAGTGTAAGCACAGCATTGTCATCGCCATGTCTGCACTTACGCAACTATCGCCTTGCCCAAAACCTGTCAGGGCATCCGCCCGCAGGATGTGGAGGCACTCAAGAGTGCAGCAAAGTGATAACACTCTCTGGGGTGTTCAGGGTGCACAGGTGCATGCAAAATATCTCTTCCCTCGGATTGATGAGCCCCTTTCGACAACTCAAGATATATCACAAACGGCAAATTGTGTCGAGCCGCCTGTTGCCCTTGGTAGTAGTTTCAATGTAGTCCCCTCGCTGGCTTCGGCAACACTTTGCAGTTTTGACCGCTTCCGGAGCTTGCGTAAAGTTAGTTGCATTTACCTTGGTCGACGTGAGGCAGCGAGAATTGAGCAAGCGGGGCTGTCCTGGCTCTCTGAGCAGCTCCGGGCTTGGTGTCGGAGTGGGAGCGGCAGAGGATCGTCTTTAGAAGCTTCACGAGCCCAGCCACATGGGGGAGTGTAACCGGACAGAGCAGGTTGGAGGAATGCTGTAATTTGCAGTTCAACATGCTGCACGTCATGAATCAAAACGGTGCCGGTGCCCTGTGACCCCAAAACGTCATTTTCGTTCAATGTGCGAGTCGCCTTTGGATGCTGCCCGAACTTCCCGAGTGAATGCCAGGAAGAGGTAATTCGCAATTCATTGCAACACGCTTTTAGACAACCCCATGGGCCGCATTTGGATGCAAAGAGTATCAGTATTACTGTTATGAAGGCCCATTAAGGCCCGACCATTTTGAGGCCGGCAGTGGCCGAAGCTTTGGACATGGCGGAGAACGGTGCGGAGGCCCTGCCCTACTGTGGCCTTAGACCTTGTCAGAGGAACGAGAGGAACTGCTTCGTTTTGAGCAAGCGCCGCGAAAGCTTCAAATCGCAAGCAGAAGGCAAAAATACTGCAGCGATTAT